CTGTGACGATGGATAGGAATTGGACAAGGTGGAACGAAATATGAACTCTGAGTTGGCGAACGCTGTGTCTGAGATTGGCTATTGATTGTGTGATATATTGTTGTTTTTAATTGTTGGCCATTTAATTGCTGGTTTTATATGTTATTGTATTTATGTAGGCACCAAGATGTGCCTTTTGTAAGCCGCCCTGAGTCCCCCCTCGGTTGTTGAGAAGGGCGGGGTAGAAGTACACAAAATAAATAAATAAATAAAAAGACTGCCACCTCACCCCCTTTACCTTTGTCTTCCTGCTCCTCATTGCTGCCAGCAGCACTGGGGTGGTAGCGACGAGGAGCAGGAAGATGAAGGTAAAGGGGGCGAGGAGGGAAAAAAACTGCCGCCTCGCCCTCTGTTACCTCCGTCTCCCTACTCCTCGTCGCCGCTGGCAGCAGCAGCAACATCCCAGCAACAATGAGGAGCAGGAAGACCTTGGTAAAGGAGGCGAGGAGCGGAAAAGACTGGCCCCTCGCCCTCTTTACCTTCATCCTCCTGCTCCTCATTGCCACTGGAACCTCTTGCCACTGCTTAAGCCCCACGATTGAGGACCCGGCCCAAGAGGCACAGGCGGCAACAAGGAGGAGGAAGAGGAAGGTAAAGAGGGCGAAGGGGAGGCTCTTCTTCCCTCCTTGCTACAGTGTTCCCTTGTTACTTAATTTTTAAAAAAACGTGAAATAGCGAGTCTGCGGTAAGTGAACCGCGAAGTAATGAGGGAACACTGTTTATTTTTGTTTAAATACTGTGGAAAAGCTTCTGCTTACTCTGCTTATTCACATTTAACAATCTTAACAATAGGCACCTTTGTTTACCTAGCTCTAGACAAGACCACAGAGATCAGACCCAGGCTCAGCCAGGCCTTCAAATGCTAATGAAGGTGGTCAGTTGAAACATTCACACCTAGCTCCAGCAGAGAAGAGCTCTTTGCCCCACCCCAGCCATTCCACAGATATATAAACCCATTTTCCTACTTCCAACAGACCTCACTACCTCTGAGGATGCTTGCCATAGATGCAGGCGAAACGTCAGGAGAAATGCCTCTAGAACAGGGGTCCACAAACTTTTTAAGCAGAGGGCCAGGTCACAGTCCCTCAAACTGTTGGAGGGCCGGATTATAATTTGAAAAATAAAACATGAATTCCTGTGCATGCTGTACATATCTTATTTGTAGTGTAAAAAAACACTTAAAAACAATGAAATAATTAAAATGAGGAACAGTGTTAACAAACATAAACTTATTAGCATTTCAATGGGAAATGTGGGCCTGCTTTGGCTGATGAGATAGGATTGTTGTTGTTATGTGTTTTCAAGTCATTTCAGACTTAGGTTGACCCTGAGCGAGGGCCGGGTAAATGACCTTGGAGGGCCGCATCCGGCCCCCGGGCCTTAGTTTGAGGACCCCTGCTCTAGAACATGGTCCTATAGCCCGAAAAACCCCACAAGAACCTAGTGATTCCAGCCATGAAAGCCTTCGACAATACATCAGACTCCATTGTTCTTCAGGGCCTGCTTTTCACAATCCCATCATCCCCACCCTGGACCCCTTCCAGCCTGGAATGCCAGCACTTCCTGGAGAGTTCTGTGTTTTCCAGGCTGTATGATCATGTTCCAGAAGCATTCTCTCATGACATTTCTCCCACATCTGTGGCAGGCATCCTCGGAGGTTGTGAGGTTCCAAACTCAGAACCACCCAGTGATTCTGGCCATGAAAGCTTTCAACAATACATCTTGGAGACTCCTCTCTGCCCACAGAGCTTTACCCGCCTGGCTGGGAGGGGATTTCCAGCCACATCATTGAAGCTAAGCTAACTAGAAACAGAAGAGGGATAATGTATTGTCAAAGGCTTTCATGGCTGGAATCACTGGGCTGTTGTAGGTTTTTTTGGGCTATATGGCCATGGTCTAGAAGCATTCTCTCCTGACGTTGTGCCTGCATCTATGTCAAGCGTCCTCAGAGGAGGCTTGCCATAGATGCAGGCGAAACGTCAGGAGAGAATGCCTCTAGACCATGGCCATATAGCCCGAAAAAACCTACAACAACCCTGAAGAGGGATAGTTCAAACTGGAACAACGGGCCTTGTATAAAAACAGAGCACATGCTTGCTGATGCTTGCCATTTTTGAGCAGGAGCTCCTAAATATCCCATCTTGGCCAAGATGTAATAAATGCCTGTCCTATGTCTTCACTATGTCTTCACTGGTGAGTTTCTTTTTAATCTGGAAATTTGGTTATTAATTATGGTTGGCCACGTTCATCAGGCCGTTCCCTCTCATTTTATTGCGGTTTAACTTCCATAGCAAATGCTGCTAGAAACCTTCAGCAAGACAGATGAGGAAGAGCAAAAAAGGACTAGGATGGATTTCTAACAGAGTGACCAACTCTCCCTTATTTCCTGAGGACTCCCATATCCCACCTAAATCTTTGGAATTGCCTCATTCCTTTATTACTCTTTTATTTATGCCTTACATTTAGAAGTACAGCATTACAGTGTTCCCTCACTACTTTGCGGTTTGCTTTTAACGGACTCACTGTTTCGTGGGTTTTTGCCTCCTGGCAACGATGGAGTGTGGAAGGGGTTTTCATCCTCCCCCTTGGGAGAGAGGCAGCCAATCATTAAAAAAAGAGAGGAGATACAAAGCACTATGTAAATCACAGCCTTATAGCCCCTTCCTTATAGCTAGTGAAGGAGGCCTCAAGGGTCTCTGAGTAAGGGGCTTTGAATGAAATTAACAGCAAAAGAGAAACATACCCTTTCTCTGACTTCAAAAGAGCAATATGGAAGAAAATGTTTTTAAGAAACAAGATGTGACATGTAGAAGGTACTTCTTACACAGGATGCTTGTGGTTAACTTCAAAGGTTGTGGTAAAGTGCAGAGTATGCATGTACAAGAAGGTATTTTCCATCAAAAGGTCAAGGGAGAGGGGCTGGAAAGAGAGTACTTTCCATGAAAAGAAAATGTTCTCTTTTGTTAAAGGTTAAAAATTGTTGATGTCAGGCAGTGGTACTTTCCCTTTTTGTTTACACTGGGCTGTAAAGTTTGCAGATTTCAAGGGAAGAGGGCGGCAGTCACTTGAAGGGTAACATCTACGCATGCTGCCCGGCTGTCCGTCTTCTTCATGAAGAAACTCAAAATAAAACCTGATATGGATTGGACTTGACAAAGCGAGGAACCAGGCATAGCTGAACAACAATGGACAACAAGGAGTGCAGCAAAGTGTGTAAGGAATGTGCAAGAGGTATCTCATAAGTCATATGGTCTGGATGAGGGGATGAGCTCATCCAGACCATATGACTTATGAGGTACCTCCTGCACATTCCTCATCCCCTGTTTGGGTATCAGCCAGCACATCAACGAATGAAATCTAGAAATAGTTTTCTAAGATCTACAGAGACACTCGCTGGAACACCTCAGCAAGGGAGAGTCCAAAAGTGGCAGGCTCAAACCCAGAACCTCAACCAATGGCTGATACCAAATGAGAGACTCCCCCCTGGACACACAGAGGACTGGGTGACTTGGAAGGGACTGAACAGACTGTGCTCTGGCACCACGAGATGCAGAGCCAACCTTCAGAAATGGGGCCACAAAGTGGAATCCATGACATGCGAGTGCGGAGAGGAGCAAACCACTGACCACCTGCTGCAATGCAACCTGAGCCCTGCCACATGCACAATAGAGGACCTTCTTGCAGCAACACCAGAGGCACTCCAAGTGGCCAGATACTGGTCAAAGGACATTTAATCAACTACCAAACTCACAAATTTTGTATTTTGTCTGTTTGTTTGCTTTGTTCTGTTAGAAATGTAATATAATTGACTGGTTGCCCTGACACGACAAATAAATATGGTCTGGAATGTGGAACCTACAACAGAACAACATATTCATTAAAAGAAAGACTGACTTTGGCCTATACATACAGGGGACCCCGAAGTTATATATGCTACCTGATCCGCGGCAACGGGAAAAGCCCACATCTTCTCGGGGAAAGCTGCTCATTCTCACCGGAGAAGGCTTCTGTGTGTGTATGTGTGAATGTTTGGAATGTATGCATGAGAGCTCTCTCTTGGTGGGATTCTATGGTGACTGTATTTCAATAAATGTTACATGAATAGTATCAAGACCAAATGTGGTTTCTGAAGTGTCTCATTGATCTAAACTGTGTTACTATTCCTTGTTCAGTGGACTCTCCTCTACAGTTCCATTTTGGTGGGAAGCCTTAACATTGAACTGTTGTGTTGTTAAAGTGTGAAGTATGGAACCCTGAACAGACGGTCCGTCAATGCAACTTAAGCAACGTGCAGTCATTGAATTCTTGACAGCAGAAGGTGTCACCCCAAAGGAGATTCCTCAGAGAATGCAAGCTGTTTATGGTGATTGTGTTGATGTGAGTACTGTGCGTCGTTGGGCTAGTAAGTTTAAATATGTTGAGGTGGGAACATCTGACTTACGTGAAACAAAGAGTTTGACGTCCTGTGACAGCAACCACCGAGTTTCACAAGCAAAAGGTTGACAGATTGAGTCAGGACGATCGTCATATCACTCAGATAAATTTCAAGCATAACTGGCATTTCACAAGAACATGTGGGTCACATTATTGCTTTGCTTGGCTATCGGAAGATCTGTGCACGATGGGTACCCAGGATGCGGACGCTGGTTGCGGAAACAGAGTGTCAACTTCTTCCGTGATGGCTTCAGAAAACTTGATCATTGTTGACAGAAATGTCTCCAATTGTCTGGTGATTATGTGGAAAAGTGAATAGTGGTAGTTAAAGAGCACATTCTAGGGATTATTTCTGTGTTTGATTTATTAAAATGCTCCCATCCAAACACAAGTAACGAAGGTGGAGCATTACTTTTCATTCAACCCTCGTAGCTCCTCCTGGGAAAGATACTCTGTTCTTCTGAAGAGGCTTAGCGCTGTCCGAAAACCCCAGCATGCATTCCAATCAGACACTAGAGGCAAGGAGATTAAATCAATAGGTTTAATTTGCAGAGCAAAGCCATTGGTTGAGCAACAACAACAACAACAACAACAACAGAAATGTGCCACAAGGCTGAGGTGCAAGTCAGCCCCTTTTATAGAACAGGTACTTAAAGTTTCTAAAACATGCACGCGCAAGCTTCCTCCTTCCATCCATCCACACCTCTCTGCTTCCTTTATCCCTCTCTCACTCTGCTTGTGAATGAACTTCTTTCCATACTCCAAGAATTTAAAGGGTTACTACCCGGTGGGAGTTCTTTGATGATGCTTTGAGGCTTGTTTGCTGCCTGAAGTTCTTTCCACAATCCAAGCGTTGAAATGGCTTCCCCACTACAGTGTTCCCTCACTATTTCGCGGTTCGCTTTTTGTGGACTCGCTGTTTCGCGGGTTTTTAATAAATATTAATGTAAAATGTTTTGACTTCTGGTGTGGCGAGATGGCGGCAGGAGCTCCTAGGGAGCCAGCCCCATAAAACGATCAGGTAGTGCTTTGGTTCCCTTCTCCTGCTGGATCGAGAGCAGGAGAACAGCAAAGCCCGCAGGGTGGGCAGCCGACGGATTTATATTACATTAAACTCAATATGAGGAAAAGAAGGAAGGGCTGACCTTGAGGCAAGAGTGTTTGGTCAACGCAGAGTCCTTCTTTAAACAAAGGCAATCCTAGAGGAGGAGGAGGAGAAGGAGGAGCGGGTTTCAGGAACTGACGATTTAGGAGACGAATAACGAAGAGAGGGAAATAAGAGAGAAAACTTCGGAAGTGGAAGCAGAGGAAACCAACAAATTGACTGGAGGACAGGAAGTGGCGGGATAGAGAAGGCCGGAACTTGAGGGAGAGACAGAAGGCTGGAAGTGGTCGGGAACATTATAGAAAGACAGGAAGAGAAGGGAAAGAAGAGGCAATATGAAGCTGGAAGTGAGGAAACAAATGCAGTCATCACTAATAGTCAACACAGATTTATCAAAAACAAGTCATGCCAGACTAATCTGATCTCTTTTTTCAATAGAGTTACAAGCTGGGTAGATGCGGGGAACGCCATGGATGTAGCGTACCTGGATTTCAGTAAGGCTTTCGACAACGTCCCCCAGGACCTTCTGGCAAACAAACTAGTCCAATGTGGGCTAGGCAAAACTATGGTTAGGTGAATCTGTATTTGGTTAAACGGACAAACCCAAAGGATGATTCTCCCCAAGGCTTCCTCTTCATCCTGGAAAGAAGTGATGAGTGGAGTACCATCAGCAGGGTTCTGTTCTGGGCCTGGTTCTGTTCAACATCTTTATTAATGACTTACACGAAGAGTTAAAAGCAAGTTTGCAGACGACACCAAATTGGGAGGGATAGCCAATACACCAGAGGACAGGAGCAGGATTCAAAACCATCTTAATAGATTAGAGAGAAGATGGGCCAAAACTAACAAAATGAAGTTCAACAGTGACAAATGCAAGATACTCCACTTAGGCAGAAAAAATGAAATGCAAAGATACAGAATGGGAGACGATGCCTGGCTCAAGAGCAGGACATGTGAAACAGATCTTGGGGTCCTCATGGACAACAAGTTAAACATGAGCCAACAATGTGATGCGGCGGCAAAAAAACCAATGGGATTTTGGCTTGCATCAATGGGAGTATAGTGTCTAGATCCAGGAAAGTCGGGTTACCCCTCTATTCTGCCTTGGTTAGACCACATCTGGAATACTGTGTCCAATTGACAAGCTGGAATGTGTCCAGAGGAGGGCAACCGAAATGATCAAAGGTCTGGAGAACAAGCCCTATGAGGAATGGCTTAAAGAGCTGGGCATGTTTAGCCTGAAGAAGAGAAGGTTGGGAGGAGACATGATAGCCATGTATAAATACATGAGAGGAAGTCATAGGGAGGAGGGAGCAAGCTTGTTTTCTGCTGACCTGGAGACTAGGATGCGAAACAATGGCTTCAAACTACAAGAAATGAGATTCTATCTGAACATTAGGAAGAACTGCCTGACTGTGAGAGCCGTTCAGCAGTGGAACTTTCTGCCCCGGAGTGTGGTGGAGGCTCCTTCTTTGGAAGCTTTTAAACAAAGGCTGGATGGCCATCTGTCGGGGGTGCACTGAATGCAATTTTCCTGCTTCTTGACAGAATGGGGTTGGACTGGATGGCCCATGAGGTCTCTTCCAACTCTTCTATGATTCTATAGGAGACATTACTGACAAACCGGTGTAAAAGGAAAATAACATTAAGGAGAGACACTCTGCAGTAAGTAAGGAATGTGTATAAATATTAAAATAAATAAACTGTCGTGTCCCTACTTCACAGATTTCCACTTATTACAGGTGGTCCTGGAACGGAACACCCGCAATAAGTGAGGGAACACTGTGTATATTTTCTTTGATGATGAGTCAAGTATGATTTCCTAGCCAAGCTCGTTCCACATGACATGCATTTAAATAGCTTCTTGCCTATACGATATTCTTGAAATGTAAGATTTTTCTTCCATCTGAGGCTCTTTCCACACTAAGCCAGTGGTTCTCAACCTGCATGTCCCCAGGTGTTTTGGCCTACAACTCCCAGAAATCCCAGCCAGTTTACCAGCTGTGAGGATTTCTGGGAATTGAAGGCCAAAACATCTGGGGACCCACAAGTAGAGAACCACTGCTCTAAGCATTTAAATGCTTTTCCTCCTTTATGACTTCTTTGATGACCTTTGAGACTCACTTTCCACCTGAAGCTCTTCCCACACTGTGTGCATTTAAAGGGCTTCTTGCCTGCATCACATCTTTGATGGTACATAAAAATTATCTTCCATCTGAAGCTTTTTCCACACTCAGAATTTAAAGGGTTTCTCCCCTGTGTGGATTCTTTGATGACCACGGAGATGTGACTTGTGAGTGAACATCTCCCCACACTCCAAACAATGAAAGTGTTTCTCCCCTGTATGCCTTCTTTGATGAACCGTGAGTTCTGACTTGTACCTGAAGCTCCTTCCACACTCCAAGCATTTATATGGATTCTCACCTTTGTGAACTGATGGAACAGTGAGATGGGATTTTTGACTGAAGCTCTTTCCACACTCTGATCATTTAAAGGGTTTCTCTCCTGTATGAGCTATTTGATGGACAGTGAGTTGTGACTTGTACCTGAAGCTCCTTCCACACTCCAAGCACCAAAATGACTCATTTGATGAGAAATGAGGTTTGGCAAGTCCTTGAAGTTCTTTCCACACTCTGAACATGGAAAGGGTCTCTCCCCTGTATGGGTTCTTTGATGACGAGTAAGAGCCATTTTCTGACGGAAGCTCTTTCCACACTCGGAGCATTGAAAGGGTTTCTCCCCCGTGTGACATCTTTTATGGATCGTGAGGTTTTGCTTCCGAGTGAACCTTTTCCCACACTCCAAGCATTGAAAGGGTTTCTCTCCTGTGTGAGTTATTTGATGGACAGTGAGTTGTGACTTGTACCTGAAGCTCTTCTCACACTCCAAGCATTTGTATGGATTCCCACCTGTGTGAATTCTTTGATGGACAGTGAGGTGGGATTTCTGACTGAAGTTCTTTCCACACTCTAAGCATTGAAAGGGTTTCTCCCCTGTGTGAGTTCTTTGATGAACTGCGAGCTCGGACTTGTTCCTGCAGCTATTGCCACACTCCAAACATTTCCATGACTTCTTCATTCTGTGGATTGCTTGATGGCGAGTGAGAAGTTTTCTCAGACCGAAGACCTTTCCACATTCCAGGCATTTAAAGGGTTTTTCCTCTCTATGAGATTTTTCATGAATAATGAGATTTTGCTTGTGATAGAACCTCTTTCCACACTCCAAGCACTGAAATGGCTTCTCCGCTGTATGACTTCTTTGACAAGAATTATGGTATGACCTCTGATAGAACGCCTTTACACAATCCAACTCAAAGAATTTTGACCTTGTGTGAGTTCGTTGATGACGAGTAAGGCGTATTTTCATTCCGAAGCCCTTTCCACACTCTAAGCACTGAAATGGTGCCTCCCCTGTATGGCTGCTTTGATGAGAAACGAGGTTTGACTTCTGCCTGAAGTTCTTTCCACACTCCATGCACGGAAAGGGTTTCTCCCCTGTATGGGTTCTTTGATGACCAGTAAGGACCGTTTTCTGACTGAAGCTCTTTCCACAATCGGAGCACTTAAAGGGTTTCTCCCCCGTGTGACATCTTCTATGGGTTATGAGGTTTTGCTGCCAATTGAATGTCTTCCCACACTCTAAGCATTTGAAGGGGTTCTCTCCTGTATGAGTTCTCTGATGAACAGTGAGTTGTGACTTGTACCTGAAGCTCTTTCCACACTTCAAGCATTTATATGGGTTCCCACCTGTGTGAATTCTTTGATGGACAGTGAGGTGGGATTTGTTATTGAAGCTCTTTCCACACTCCAAGCATTTGAATGGTTTCTCCCCTGTGTGAATTCTTTGATGACACGCAAGGCTTGTTTTCCGACTGAAGCTTTTTCCACATTCTGAGCATTTAAAGGGTTTCTCTCCTGTGTGAGTTCTTTGATGCTCAGTAAGGACTGTTCTGCGACTGAAGCTCTTTCCACACTCTAAGCATTCAAAGGGTTTCTCTCCTGTATGCACTCTTCGATGATAAGTCAGGCCATTTTTCTGATTGAAGCTCTTACCACATTCTGAGCATTTATATGGTTTCTCTCCTGCGTGAGTTATTTGATGGCTTGAGAGGCTATCCATATGAGTGAAGGTTATTCCACACCATAAACATGAAAATGGCTCCTTCCCTGCGTGAATTGTTTCATGGCGAGTGAGGAGCTTCCTCAGACTGAAGACCTTTCCACATTCCAAGCACTGAAATGGTTTCCCACTCGTGTAGTTTTTTTGATGGGAAATAAAGGCTTCCCTAACGCTGATGATCTTTCTTTGCTCACCACCACTGAAATAAATCACCCCTCTGTGAGATCTCACGTGACAGTCAAGGCTTGCTTTCAAACTGGAGCTTCTTCCACATAGAAGGCATATGTATTTATTCCTTTCCTTTATTTTTGGTGTAATTTCCTGTCCCGAAAGTCCACTCATTTCCCCACCCAGAAAATCTTGAAACTCAGGGTTCCTTTCATTCTCGCACATCAGTCGATAACTGGCTATTTTGGGTAACATCCTGGTTGGCTCCTCTTCATTCTCACCAAGTGCCTCTTCAACATCTGGAAAGGAGAGAAAGAACTGGTCAGACAAGGACACTGACCCTCACAGTGATGCTGGTGTTAGAAATATATAAACATATTCTGACTTTTTTCAAGTCTAAGGTTCAACACTACTCATGGTTCTAGCTAAAATCATGCAAATATTGAATGTGGAATCAAAAACATTCAAAACAGTTAAAATGAAAAACAAATATAAACTCTCTCCCTTTTTCTGATTTCTCTCTCAGTTCTTCATCTAATCTCCAGATAGCTTTTGTCCTTCCATCCTTTTGAAGGAGAGACAAAATGAATGCAGCTTCCTCAGAGAGAGATCCCGTGAGGTTTCAATTCTTGCGAGAGTTGGGGCATTCAAAGCCATGAGTAAACTCTTAAGTTTGTGGCCTACAACTGTCAGACTCTGGAAGATCTTGGACTTAAAATCAAACTCACAACAATAAAGCGCTGGAGACAAGTGGTTTATTCCTTCTTTCCGCAATCCCAAAAAGACAGTTCTAAAGGTTTCCTGCTCAGACCTCCTGTATATATCAGCTTCAATTACCATCCACCAAACACTGTGCCCACAGTCTGTTAACTGCAGTTTCAATTTCCCTTACAAAACAGATGTCTTATGTACACTACTTTCCCCAACTGTACCTGGCCTCCTACCCCCCACCTCCCTTCTTTCGTGGCAGAGAACCAAGTCCCAGGCTGATACAGTGATCCTAACGATAACTGCCTAAATTGCTTGTTTTGGGAATCAACACGGGAACTCATTGTTGATTCCCAAAACAAGCAATGTATGTATGCAAGATACATACATTGAGGCACACTCTGTTTACTACTTTGCTAAACGAAGGCTAATTCCTAATAGTTTCGATTTTTATACCCCCCCTCCCCCTAAAAAAGAGGTTAACACCCTGGGTAACACCAATTCCAAATAGTTTAACCTCTTTTGAAAGAGAGCCTGGGAGCAGATGTTTTAATGCCATTTGTAATGGATTGGCCTACCTTTGGCCTACCTTACAGGGTTGGTGTAAAATGAGTAGACAGACCTGGCTTAGAAAAGCTAAGGAGAGCAGGGAGCTGGAGCGATTGGCAGCTTGACAGCTGTAAATGAGATCTGATTAGCTGATGAAATTGGAGGGAGTTGGAGATGGGAAGAGTCAAAGGGAAAGGAAGGAGCTAAGGCAGCTATAATGGTGAGTTTGGTGTTTGAAGAGTTAGTTAGAACGTTTTCGGCTAATGGAGTTCATGCTCTCCAAATAGGATGTTCTGTCCCACAACTCTGTGTGTTTTATGACTTCCATTTAAACGTCCTGCTCCTATTTTATCTCATCACAGTCTGTTAATTGTTTTTTTTTTTTTAAAAAAAAATTCGGAATATGTGGCCCGCCCATTGTCATCTCTATCGTGATTGTGTCTATCGGAATTTTATTTTATTTTATTATTATTTTATTATTATTATTTTTAATGTCATTTTGATAATGTTGTCTGTTGTATATGTTTTGATTTTATTGCTGTATTATGTTGTCTGGGCTTGGCCCCATGTAAGCCGCTCCGAGTTCCCATCGGGGAGATGGTGGCAGGGTAGAAATAAAAATTATTATTATTATTATTATTATTATTATTATTATTATTATTATTATTATTAGGAGTTTTGAAGGGAAGGAAGGGTTTTGGGAATTGTTGTTAAATGATACCTCTTTGAAGAAAATAGTTAAAGCCTCCAGGGAGAAGGAGTAAGAGATATAGTTAGGCCTCTATAGTGTTAAAGTGTGAGTGTGGAAAGAGAATTCAAAAGGTTCAGAATAACCTGTTTGCATTCCTGTGTATGGAACATTGTTTTAATGAACTCAAGTTATAAGACCTTTCTCTGTAAGAGAAACAATTGTGATTGCTGTTGGTTATACAATTGATGAACCACTAGAAAGAAGTGAACTTACCCAGAGAAGACACAAGGCCCAGATTCTCCTCCATGACTTCCCTGTGTAAGGCCCATTGCTCTGGGTCCAGCAAGGCCCACTCCTCCTCCGAGAAAAACACAGCCACCTCCTCAAAGGTCACCTGGAGAAAAAAAAGGTCATTGGAATCAGGCATGCCCGAGGAATTTGGGATTCTTGCCACTTCCCAGCTCATCTGGATCCTGCCTGCTGTCACCTGCCATTACCTTCTGACCACCAGACTTTCCAACTTGTGATGGGGGATGTGTGGCTCAAGAGCAGTACATGTGAAAAAAATCTAGGAGTCCTCGTGGACAACAAGTTTAACATGAGCCAACAATGTGATGTGGCAGCAAAAAAAGCCAATGGGATTTTGGCCTGCATCAATAGGAGCCTAGTGTCTAGATCTAAGGAAGTCATGCTACCCCTCTATTCCACCTTGGTCAGACCACACCTGGAATATTGTGTCCAATTCTAGACATCAAAATTGAAGCGAGATATTGACAAGCTGGAATGTGTCCAGAGGAGGGCGACTAAAATGATCAAGGGTCTGGAGAACAAGCCCTATGAGGAGCAGCTTAAAGAGATGGGCATGTTTAGCCTTCAGAAAAGAAGGCTGAGAGGAGACATGATGAGGACCACATGTCAATATGTGAAGGGAAGTCACAGGGAGGAGGGAGCAAGCTTGTTTTCTGTTGCCCTGTTTTTTTCTCCCATCCTGGACATTATTCCACAGATATATAAACCCCACATGCCTTGACCAACAGAAAATACTAGAAGGTTTTGGTGGGCATTGACCTTGAGTTTTGAGTTGTAGTTCACCTACATCCAGAGAGCACTGTGAATTCAAACAATGGATCTGGACCAAATTTGACACAAACACTCAATATGCCCAGATGTGAACACTGTTGGGGTTTGGGGAAAATAGACTTTGACATTTGGGAGTTGTAGTTGCTGGGATTTATAGTTCACCTACAATCAAAGAGCATTCTGAACCCAAACTAACAATAAAATTGGATCAAACTTCCCACACAGAACCCCCATGCCTTGAAGGGACTCGCTGGCGCAAACCTCCCTCCAGCCTTGCACGCTCTCCCTCACCCCGCACATGTGCACCATGCTGCCCTGCGCTGAGCACGCCTGCTCTCCAATCCCTGCTTGGAGTCTCAGAAACAGCCCTCCCCTTGGCTGAGAGGCCAGCCAATCATAGCAGGAGGAGGGCTTTTGGGGGAGGATAAGCCATCTGTTTCCGAAAAGGAAGAGAAAGACAGGCGGAGAGTTCTTCAGCCTTCTCTGCCAAAGGGGTTCCTAAGACCATCTGAAATATATATTTTTGGGGCATATCCAGCCTGCGGGTCAGATGTCATGGAAATCTGCTTTAGGTAGATAGGAGTTGCCTGGCTAGATTCACATTTTTAAATATGGCAACCACAGTTAAGACTTGGGAATTAAGAATCCTTGCCACTCCACTTGTTAGCTGATCTGGATTCTGTCTTGTGTCACCTGCTGTCACCTTCTGGCCTGTGATGGAGGCTCAGGGATCTGTGAAGGCTCAGGGACACCCAGCCCTCCATGGATACCACCTCTTACCTGTTCCATTGTTACTGAAGTTGCACCAAATGCATCGGGATAATGAGATGCTGTGGTATGTGTTGCCCAAGTTCCATCTGCAATGAAAGGAGAAAGGGTAAGTCACGTACAAATCCTGTTTGTCACTTAAGTCTTTCCTCAGTTACTCAATCACAGAAAATATTACCGTATATTCTGGTGTATAAGACTACTTTTTAACCCAAGAAAATCTTCTCAAAAGTCAGGGGTCGTCTTATACATGGGAGTAACCTTATACATGGGAGTAGTCTTATACACTGGAGTAGTCTTATACGCTGGAGTAGTCTTATATGCTGGAGTAGTCTTACACATGGGAGTAGTCTTATGCACAGGAGTAGTCTTATAGAGCAGGTGCTGAAACTTCCAATCGGATTGGAGAATCTATGGTTGCCGCATATGGTGGAGGGAGCTCAAAACTGGCAATGGCCATGTCCCTGCCGTATGCAGCGACTGTATGAAAGTATTAAGGGCGACGCTGCACAGGTACGGTTGAAGGAAATCCATTCATCAGGATTCGTGGACTTAATGTGGTTCCGACGGTGAGGTGAAGGGGCAAGTGAAGGGCGGTAAGTGAAGGGCGGAGCAAGCTTCAGGCGTCCGGGATGCCTGGGGTATGGAAAAAAGAGATAGAGTAGCTCTGGGCCCAGACAAACTCACCTCTTTTACCTGTCTGACCTCCTCCTCTGCCTCTCAGATCTTGCTCCTGAAGACTGCAGTGAAGCGGTGCAGGTGTACATGTGCGAGATCTGAGAGGCAGAGAAGGAGATACAGTAATAGGAAAATTACCATATTGAAATCAAATCTGATGCTTTTAAAAAAATCTGGTGTGCGTTGGAAGAGGGGTAGCCTTATACGACGAATATATCCCAAACTCTATATTTTAACTGGAATAGTTGGGAGTCGCCTTATATGCCGGAATATACGGTAGATCAAACACACATACATGCTGGTGGCAAGAAACTCAGAATTGGAAGGTGTATCAAACTGTAAATATATTTAAAGAAATAAAAGTAGGATCAGTTCAAAGAAAACTATCTGACATCAGAAGATGTTTTATTTATTTATTTTACCCTTTTGCTTAAGCTTCTTTTAGCTACATCCATGGGAGGAGGGGGTCTTCAAACATATTGCCTGAAGATATGGAGGTTATACTTTATTAAGCACCACAAAGAATGCATGGGGATGCTGGGTTAAGTCATTTGCAGTTTAAAATGGAGAATGCATTGGGTTGCTGTGAGTTTTCCGGGCTCTATGGCCATGTTCCAGAAGCATTCTCTCCTGATGTTTTGCCTGCATCTATGGCAGGCATCCTCAGAGGTTGTGAGGTCTGTTGGAAACTAGGCAAGTGGGGTTTAGATATCTGTGGAATGATGTCCAGGGAGGTAGAAAAAATGCTTGTCTGCTTGAGGCAAGTGTGAATGTTGCAACTGGCCACCTTGACTAGCATTTAATGCCCTTGCAGTTTCCAGGTTTGACTGATTATTGCCTAGGGGAATAATAATAATAATATTCATTTTTATTTTTTCATTTCAAACTCTAGCCATCCCCTGCCACGTGCTGGGGCCAGGCTGTGTATATGTGTTTTGTGTGTGTATATATATGTATATTTCTTTATATATGTGGTTTTGCGCATGCGATGTAATGCATTGTTTGTTTTTTGGCTTTTTAAGTCCCTTCTGTTCTGTTTTTCAGGGTTTTTAACGAGTGATGGTCACTCGTTGGCCTGATAGGTGTATTGTGTCCAAATTTGGTGTCAATTCGTCCAGTGGTTTTTGAGTTATGTTAATCCCACAAACGAACATTACATTTTTATGTATATAGATTTGTACCCCGCCCTTCTCAACCCCCTCAGGGCAGCTTACAACCGGCAACAATTCGATGCCCTCACATAAAAGATAATAATACAGTAATTACATATAAATGATACATTAAATTTGTTTAAAAATAATTTAAAATTAAATCCATTTAAAATAATACTGGCTGTCTAGCCTTATCTAGAATCAAATTCTGCGAACAACAACACTATCAGCAGCATGTCCATAGTCCATTTTCCACAGCATTGTCATCATTGTCATTGTTAATTATTAGTGTGTTACCCGAAAGGCTGGTACCACAACCATGTTTTCTATTTTTCCTGAAGGAGAGGAGGGATGTAGTTGACATGATTTTGCTGGGGAGCAAGTTCCACAGGCGAGGGGCCACCACCGAGAAGGCCCTGTCCCTCGTCCCTGTCAAGCGTGTTTGCGCCAGAGGCAGGGTTGAGAGCAGGGTCTCCCCAAAAGATCTTAAACTCCGAAGTGGGACATAGAGGGAGATGTGTTCGGACAGGTAAGTTGGGCCAGAACTGTATAATAATAATGATAACAACTTTATTTTTATATCCTGCCTCCATCTCACCAAAGGGACTTACATGGAGCCAAACCCAACAAACAGTTAAAACCATAACATGTAAAAATATATAACAGCAGTAAAAAAACAACAACACAGAACAACATTATAACATTATAATAAAAACAAGCATGATAAGCAACAACCAAAGATATAGTCTCATTTTGGGAGGGTGGAATGGTGCGCAAACAATTTAGAAGTAAGGCTAGTCAATAAAGTGCATAGGTCATATAGCAGTGTAAGGTTAAGAGCAATTATAACAGGCTCATTATAACTTGAATAGTACAATAGTAAGGTGCAGGGACATGATTTTAGGCCAAGGGTTGGAGGTGTTAACTGGCACTAATTGATTTCTTGTCTGGAAACAAGAATCAGTTGGGGAATTCCAGGCAGGCTAAGGCCTATCTCACACTGTGAGGCCTTCTCACAGACTGAGACCTTTCTCACACTGAAGTTTACCTCAGGCTGATGTCTACTAAGCTACAGGCACACCTGCTTATATAGAACTGCAGCTTTTGCTAAGCCATTGTATTCATTTAACCCTTTCACATGTGATTTCTAATATTTATTTTCTTGAAGTTATTTATTTATTGTCCTTTTACACTGTGAGCTAGTTTGGGTCCAAATTTGGAGGAAAATGTGGGAAGATGAAGATGACAATACAACAGTAAATAAGACAAGTAATAATGACTTGTCGAAGGCTTTCATGGCTGGAATCACTGGGTTGTTGTACATTTTTTGGCTATATGGCAATGTTCTAGAAGCATTCTCTCCTGACGTTTCACCTGCATCTATGGCAAGCATCCTCAGAGGTTGTGATGTCCTCGCAACCTCTGAGAGCTCACAACCTCTGAGGATGCTTGCCATAGATGCAGGCAATACGTCAGTAGAGAATGCTTCTAGAACATGGCCATATAGCCCAAAAAACCTACAGCAACCCAACAGTCAAACAGTCGCCGATTTAAGTCATCGTCCTAAAAGCGATCCATCAAGTCCATTAGAACCGTCACTTTGCCAGCAGGTGAACATAGTTCTGCAAAGGCTTGATCCCATAGCCAGGATTTCACTTGTTTCCGAAAGGTCAGGAGGGATGGAGAAGATCTAATTTCGCTTGGGAGGGATTTCCACAACCGAGGGGCCACCACAGAAAAAGCCCTGTCCCTTGTCCCCACCGAATGCGATTGAGATGGGGGGGACAATGAACAGGGCCTCTCTGGATGATCTTAGGGTCCTAGGTAGCAGGAGATACTATTCAAGGAAAACAGTACATCCAGACAACACTGGCTAGCTGGTGCCTAAGTAGAACCCCCAAATTTCCCAGTCACTCTTGAGCTATGTTTGCAACAGACTAGCAGATATGATACAGTTATGGTCAGAGAACAATGGACTATAGTTGTGCTATAGTTGGGTCCTTGTTAGGATCCCACGTGCGCTATAAGGTCAATCGAAATCATAAACAACCAATGAGCAACTGTACAACTAGCTTCCCTTATCCACACAGTTTCAAAGTGTTGAATACAAATCACTGTTGACATTAAGCAACGAAAAACAGCAGCATGTGTTCCTTATATTTGAGAGGAGGGAGCCAGGAAAAAAGAGCACCTTCCATCTTACCTGTTGAGTTGGAGAGTCTGTCTCTGTTTGGCAGGATGCACTTGGTTTCGGAAAGACTGTTCTCGGGCTCAGCTGTTCCTTTCGGAATCAAGCCCTGTAGGGGGAAGAAACAGTCAAAGTGATCAATACATGAAGATAATATAATGAGGTTCAAATGCCATAGATACTCTGAAGCAGGCATGGGCCAACTTTGGCCCTCTGGGTGTTTTGGACTTCAACTCCCACAATTCCTAACAGCCTACCGGCTGTTAGGAATTGTGGGAGTTGAAGTCCAAAACACCCAGAGGGCCAAAGTTGGCCCATACCTGCTCTGGAGGATTTTGAGGAAAAGGAGTCAAACAGATCTGCTTGAAAATAAACAAATGCCTCTCACCTGCTGCACTTCCTGCTTGTCCTCCTCTGCCCGACTCAGAAGGAAGCCCTCCGCCAAGGCCACGGCCTGGGAAGTGTTTTCCGTCCCACAGTCCCGGACCCAGCTTTCCATTTCTGGAGGAAGGACATCCAAGAGCTGCTCCAGGACCAACAGGTCCAGCATCTGAGCCTTGGTGTGTGTTTCTGGCTCCAGCCACTGGTAGCAGAGGTGGTGGAGTTGGCTGCAAACCTTCCTGGGGCCTTCAGCCTCTTTGTAGCAGAACTGCCTGAAGTGTTGGAGATAGAGATCCGAACCCAGCACTTCTTTTCTCAGGCTTCCTTCCCAGGATCCTCCATTGCACTCAGCTTGAGCGGTAGGAAAGCTGTTTCCTAATTCATTCTCAGTAGGTTCCTCCGCCTCCATCTTTGATTGGTCAAGTTTCCAAAGAGAGGGACTTCATTTTGGCCAGATTGTCCTGCAAGGCAAAACATTGAATCTATTGTTATGATATCGAGTTTAACAAAGAATCATAGAGTTGGAAGAGACTTTGTGGCCATCCGGTCCAATCCCCTGCCTAGAAGCATTCAAAGCATCTCCAACAGATGGCCATCCAGCCTCTGTTTAAAAGCCTCCAAAGAAGGAGCCTCCACCACACTCTGGGGCAGAGAGTTCCACTGCTTAACAGCTCTCACAGTTAGGAAGCTCTTCCTAATCTTCAGGTGGAATCTCCTTTCCTATAGTAGCCATTCTTCCGCATTCTAGTCTTCAGGGCAGCAGAAAACAAGCTTGCTCCCTCCTCCCTATGAATTCCCCCCACATATTTATACATGGCCCTCATCATGTCTCCTCTCAGCCTTCTCTTCTGCAGGCTAAACATGCCCAGCTCTTTAAGCCGCTTCTCATAGGGCTTGTTCTTGAGGCCCTTGATCGTTGGAGTCGCCCTCCTCTGGACACATTCCAGCTTAGAGTCAACATCTCCCTTCAATTGCTGTGTCCAGAATTGGACACAGTGCGATTCCAGGTGTGGTCTGACTAAGGCAGAATAGAAGGGTAGCATGACTGTAAAATAAGCCATAGCAGGCTTTCTAAATATTTGCGCAATATAGGACATACCCTCTATTCTGCCTTGGGTACAGTGGGTTAAAGCACTGAGCTGCTGAAATTGCTGACCGAAAGGTTGCAGGTTTGAATCCGGGGATCGGGGTGAGCTCCCCCTGCCAGCCCCAGCTTTTGCCAACCTAGCAGTTTGAAAACATGCAAATGTGAGTAGATCAATAGTTACTTCTCTGGCGGGAAGGTAACGACAGTCCATGAAGTCATGCCGGCCACATGACCTTGGAGGTATCTATGGACAGGTATCTTCAGCTTAGAAATAAAGATGAGCGCCAACCTCCAGAGTCGGACATGACTGGACCTAATGTCAGGGGAAAACTTTTACCTTACCTTATGACTTCCCTTGATCTAGTCACTAGAATCCTTTTGATACAGGCCAAAATCCCATTGGCTTTTTAAGATGCTGCATGACATAGTTGGCTCATGATCACCTTCCTCCCCACGAGGACTCCAAGATCTTTTTCACATGTCCTGCTTTCGAGCTGGGCATCGTTCCCCATTCTGTTTCTTTGCATTTCATTTTTTCTGCCTAAGTGGAGTATCTTGCATTTGTCCCTGCTGAAAAAAGAAAAACATCATTGGTGAAGGGGATATTATTTACAGTCCCATGTTTTACAGGAGAGAATGCTGCTGGAACATACCCAGACAGCCTGGAAACTCAGAGCAACCCACTGAAAATATTATTAAGACTAGCTGTCCCCTGCCATGCGTTGCTGTGGCCCAGTCTGTGCATATGTGTTTTGTGTGTGTATATATGTGTGTATATGTTTGTGTATAAATGTGTGTTTGCATATATATATGTGTGTGTGTGTGTGTGGGTGGGTGTATATATATGTGGGTGTATATATTTGTGTATTTGTGTGTTTATATGTGTACATGCATATTGTGTATGTGTGTGCTTGTCTATATGCATATTTGAGTGTATATATGTATGTATGTGTATATGTATATGTGTGTGCATGTGTATATGTGGGTATGTATATGTATGTGTGTATATTTGTGTGTGTTTGTGCATATATATACGTGTGTATGAATGTGTGTATGTGCATATGTATATGAGTGTATATGTATATATGGTGTATTTTGGGGGTTTTTAAGTCTGTTCCGCTGGGGTTTTGTGTGTGTGTGCATGTGTGTGTTTATGGGTGATGGACACTTAATGGATTGTTAGGTGTATTGTGTCCAAATTTCGTGTCAATTCGTTCAATGGTTTTTGAGTTATGTTAATCCTACAAATGAACATTACATTTTTTATTTATATAGATAGAGATGTAATAATAATAATAATAATAATAATAACTTTATTTATATCCCACTCTATCTCCCCAAAGGGACTCAGGGCAGATTCCAAACATAAAATGCCCAATACAACAACAATACATCAATACTAACAATATTTATACAACCCAACATATAAATACGAATTATAACTTAACAAATTAAAATTATTTGCATTGTAAAAATCTTTTCTGAATAAAAACTTAATAAAAAAAATAAAAATAAAAACACAGCCTGTTATAACAGACTAAGACAAAACATCAAGACATCAACAAAGAAACATATTATTGGCTAAGGCAGTGTTTTTCAACCTGGGGGTCGGGACCCCTAGGGGGGTCGCGAGGGGGTTTCAGAGGGGTCACCAAAGACCATCAGAAAACACAGTGTTTTCTGTCAGTCATGGGGATTCTGTGTGGGAATTTTGGCCCAATTCTATCATTGGTGGGGTTCAGAATGCTCTTTGATTGTAGGTGAACTATAAATCCCAGCAACTACAACTCCCAATGTCAAGGTCTATTTTCCCCAAACTCCACCAGTGTTCACATTTGGGCATATGAGTATTTGCACCAAGTTTAAGGCTTTCATGGCTGGAATCACTAGGTTCTTGTGGGTTTTTTCGGGCTATAGGCCATGTTCTAGAGGCATTTCTCCTGACGTTTCGCCTGCATCTATGGCAAGCATCCTCAGAGGTTAGTGAGGTCTGTTGGAATTAGGACAATGGGTTTATATATCTGTGGAATGGCTGGGGTGGGGCAAAGAGCTCTTCCCTGCTGAAGCTAGGTGTGAATGTTTCAACTGACTCACCTTCATTAGCATTTGAAGGCCTGCCTGAGCCTGGGAAAATCTGTTGCTGGGAGGTGTTAATTTGTGCCTGGTTTTTTCCTCTCTGTTGTTTAGCTGTTATAATTTTAGAGTTTTTTAATACTGGTAGCCAGATTTTGTTCATTTTCATGGTCTCTTCCTTTCTGTTGAAATTGTCCACATGCTTGTGGATTTCAATGGCTTCTCTGTGTAGTCTGACATGGTGGTTGTTGGTGTGGTCCAGCATTTCTGTGTTCTCAAATAATACAACCACCATGTCAGAAATCCACAAGCATGTGGACAATTTCAACAGAAAGGAAGAGACCATGAAAATGAACAAAATCTGGCTACCAGGGAAGAGCTCTTTGCCCCACCCCAGCCATTCCACAGATATATAAACCCATTGTCCTAATTCCAACAGACCTCACTACCTCTGAGGATGCTTGCCAGAGATGCAGGCGAAACGTCAGGAGAAATGCCTCTAGAACATGGCTCTATAGCCCGAAAAAAACGCACAAGAACCTATTTGTGCCAAGTTTGGTCCAGATCCTTCATTGTTTGAGTCCACAGTGCTCTTTGGATGTAGGTGAACTACAACTCCAAAACTCAAGGTCAGTGCCCACCAAACTCTCCCAGCATTTTCTGTTGATCATGGGAGTTCTGTGGGCCAAGTTTGGTTCAATTCCATCGTTGGTGGAGTTCAGAATGCTCTTTGATTGTAGGTGAACTATAAATCCCAGCAACTACAACTCCCAAATGACAAAATCAATCCCCCCCAACCTCACCAGTATTCAAATTTGGGCATATTGTGCCAAATTTGGTCCAGTGAATGAAATTCCACCCTACAGATCAGATATTTACATTATGATTCATAACAATAGCAAAATTACAGTTATTAAATAGCAACAAAAATAATTTTATGGTTGGGGGGGGGAGGGGGACCACAACATGAGGAACCGTATTAAGGGGTCATGGCATTAGGAAGGTTGAGAACTACTGGGCTAAGGGGATATTGTTTACACTCCCATGTTTTATAATCATTCCAGCTGGAAAAGGCTCATGGAAGCAGTGCTGGGCCATTGAACGCAGATGCTGCCCACAGAAAGATACAACAAAAGCACTGCTGACAGATGGCCATCTAAAAGAAATCCTCCATAGGAGGCAGGAGGCTCCCCCAGGTTCCCAGCCTCTTCTACTGCTGGATAGCTCTTACCCTCAAGAAGCCTTTCCCATTATTTAGGTGGAGTCTCTCTCCCTGCAGTTTGAGTCCATTGCTTTGTTCCGGAAGAAGGCGCTGAGGCTTCTGGGAGTTGGAGTCCAGCTCCCTGCCTAGGCCTCACTCTTGGCCCCGCCTCTTCCGGCTAGAGCTGCGAAACCCGGAAGTGGGGACGTCCACACTCAAAGCAGGCACTTCCTGTCGCTCTCCAGCCCCTGGAGGAGGAAGGAAGGGATCCTCAGGAGAGAAGCGGATGAGTTCGGGAGAATGGTGTCTCCCCTAAAGTTTTGGGCCGAGCAAGTGAGTACAGAGGCCCTCCAGTCCCTGAGGGGGTTTATTATTTCAGAGGAGAGGCTGCTGTCCCTGTCTTTGAAGTATTCCTTGAGTGACAGGCAGTGGGAGGAGGCCTCCATGGTTTTGGAGGACTTTACATGGCAGTGTAGGGCCCTTCCACACAGCCATATAATCCTGAATTTCAAGGCAGATAATCCCATAATATCTGCTTTGACCTGGGTTATCTGAGTCCACATTGCCATATATTCCAGTTCAAAGCAGATAATCTGGACTTTACATGGCAGTGTAGAGCCCTTCCACACAGCCATATAATCCTGAATATCAAGGCAGATAATCCCACAATATCTGCTTTGACCTGGGTTATCTGAGTCCACATTGCCATATATTCCTGTTCAAAGCAGATAATCTGGATTTTACATGGCAGTGTTGAAGAAAGGGCCCCTATATCCCATGATCACACAGCCATATAATCTAAATCCAACAATATCTGATTTGAACTGGGTTATCTGAGTCCACATTGCCATATATTCCAGTTCAAAGCAGATAATCTGGATTTTACATGGCAGTGTAGGGCCCTTCCACATAACCATATAACACAGAATACCAAGGCAGATAATCCCATAATATTTGATTTGACCTGGGTTATCAGAGCCCACACTGCCATATATTCCAGTTCAAAGCAGATAATCTGGATTTTACATGGCAGTGTAGGGCCCTTCCACACAGCCATATAATCTTGAATATCAAGGTAGATAATCCCACAATATCTGTTTTGACCTGTTATCTGAGCCCACATTTATTTATTTATTTGCTTTACTTCTATACTGCTTTTCTCAGCCGAAATGGCGACTTAACGCGGTTTACATAATACAAGTTATCACAACAATATCAAAAGGTGATTAAAACACATTATACAAGACATACAAGATCAAAAAACAATCATTATCATAATCGTAGCGCCTCAGCAAACAAATCAAAATCAGAATCCGTAATCATAATCCTTTATACCAATTCCTATGTTCAGTTGTACCATCTTCCTGTATTCCATTGCACTATTTAGCCAAACGCTTGTTCGTAAAGCCAAGTCTTGACCTTCCTCCGGAACGCCAGCAGTGAAGGGGCCTGTCTGATGTCCACAGGTAGGGCATTCCACAGCCGAGGGGCCACCACCGAGAAGGCCCTGTCCCTCGTCCCCGCCAAGCGCGCCTGATGCGGGCGGGACCGAGAGCAGGGCCTCCCCGGACGATCTTAATGTCCTAGTCGGTTCATAGGTGGAGATGCGTTCGGAGAGGTAAGTAGGGCCGGAACCGTTTAGGGCTTTATAGGCTAAAGCCAGCACCTTGAATTGTGCCCGGTAGCAGATTGGCAGCCAGTGGAGCTGGCGCAGCAGAGGAGTGGTGTGCTCCCTGAGTGCCGCTCCTGTTAGCAACCTGGCTGCCGAACGTTGGACCATTTGAAGCTTCCGAGCAGTCTTCAAGGGCAACCCCACGTAGAGAGCGTTGCAGTAGTCTAAGCGGGATGTAACCAGAGCGTGGACTACCGTGGCCAAGTCAGACTTCCCAAGGTACGGGCGCAGCTGGCACACAAGCTTTAGCTGTGCAAATGCTCCCCTGGTCACCGCCCAAACATTGCCATATATTCCAGTTCAAAGCAGATAATCTGGACTTTACATGGCAGTGTAGGGCCCTTCCACACAGCCATATAATCCTGAATATCAAGGCAGATAATCCCCCAATATCTGCTTTGACCTGGGTTATCAGAGTCCACACTGCCTATATTCCAGTCCAAAGCAGATAATCTGGATTTTATACAGCTGTGTAGATGGGGCCTAAGAGGGGAGAAATGGAGGTTTGAGGAAGAAACGGCCCAGAAGAGAAGAAGTGGAAGGAATTTAGTTTTTGGTCTATGGAGAAAAGACCCTCTCCGTTTGTTGTCAAAGGCTTTCATGACTGGAATCACTGGGTTGCTGTGAGTTTTCCGGGCTGTATGGCGATGTTCCAGAAGCATTCTCTCCTTACGTTTTGTTCACATCTATGGCAGGCATCCTCAGAGGTTGTGAGGTCTGTTGGAAACTCGGAAAGTGGAGTTCATATATATTTGTGGAAGCAGCCAGGCTTGGAAGCTGCCAGGCTATTCAATGCTAATCAAGCTGGCCAATTGCAACATTCACAGTTGCCTCAGACAGACAAGAGTTCTTTCGTCCACCCTGGACATTCCAGTCACACATGGTGGAGGATGCTTGTAGGTAGTGCCATTTTGCCAGATTGTCTTTTGATCTGCCCACTCTACTTCTGAGTCTATTCAGGGACTTCTAAGTTGCCCATCCTTGTTTTGCCCCTGAAGGCAGACCCTTATGGAGGGGTTGGGGGCATCCATTTGGGATTTCCTGGTTTAGCTGCCCAGAGGGATGCTGTTGCTGGGGGAACGTTAAGAGGAGTGGTGGTTCTCATGAAGCTTTTCCTTGATTTGAGTCTACTGGGAGGAGGCTGATAGCCATGCAGAAGATGGGTTTCACAGTGTTCAACCTTATTCCTCTCACAGTTAGCAGCAACTTCCCATCGCACATCCGGGGGGGGGGGGGGGGTAATGCCAACCAGCTTGTAGAGTTTATCAACAGGTGTAGGTTTAAGACATCCAGTGATTATTCTGCAAGTTTCATTCAGTTCTATGTTCACCTGCTTCACATGGACAGACTTGTGCCCAACAGCAGGCATACTTGGTGGTTGAGTAAGACAAAGCCAGGGCTGCTGTTCTTATTAATTTTGGGTCTGCACCCCATGCACTGCCAGTAGGTTTCCTCAGGATATTTTTGCGTGCAGCTACTTTGTGCTTGGTGTTTCTACAGTATTTCCTAAATATTCGTGTGCGATCTAAAGTGACACCGAGATATTTGAGATGGAAACACTGTTCAAGCTCTTGGCCTTCCCAGGTTACTTTCAATTTCCTGTTGGCTTCATGGTTTTGTTGGTGGAAAGCACACACTTGTGTCTTGGCAGGGTTAGGCTTCAGGTGGTTATCACAATTTTATGTATTCAAAGGAGTGAAAGACAGTTGCAATAATATCCCAAGTGGAACTGAAGTAAAGTACTTTGTAACAAATAAGCTTATGTGAAAAAGAATTAATAAATAAACAGACCTCACTACCTCTGAGGATGCTTGCCATAGATGCAGGCAAAACGTCAGGAGATAATGCCTCTAGACCATGGCCATATAGCCCGAAAAAACCTACAACAACCCAGTGATTCCGGCCATGAAAGCCTTCGACAATACATTAAACATTTCTTTGTTTCAACATATATATTAAAGTCTCATGTAAAGTTACAGGACTAAAGTTATACGGCTGGAAGTCAGTATATGATTACATTGAAGTAACCTGTGAGGAGAAGTTGGAAGCTACAAATTGACTCCAGGTTTTGATTATACATTGAAGAAATATAAACAGACATATAAAGACTGCATCCCGTAACAAACACATATCAGTAAAGGCACCACAGAGACAGAGATAGTGTGTTCCAAGCATGAACTACAAGTCACTGAATTTGTGAGGTTTGATTCCTCATTCTCCCCGTAACGCCTCATCGCTCTCATGTACATACATATATGTTCAGTGTAGACAGAGGTGGGATATCCAAGATTCTGGTATACGGCTATTCCGGTATACCATGTCTATCATTGCAGATGCGATTCTGAAACAAGAGAGTGTTTGTAATAGTTCCTTCATCAAACATTTGCTTGCTTTATTCTTCTTTCTTTCTATCCTCAATATTTTTCCAATGTTTTTGTCATGCAGGAGAACCTGGCAATGGTGAAAGATCTAACTGAAAGGATGACATGGAAGGATACTTTTGAGCCCAACCTGGGAAAGGGCCCTCCTCCTGTTCGGACTGAGTATAGTGGAGTCTTCTGGAGAAGAGCCACACAGAAGAGCCTGCGGGCGGATATGCTCCATTTTAATAGATCACGGAGGTGCTTCAGGCAGTTCTGCTACAAGGACGCAGAAGGACCCAGAAGTCTTTGCAGCCAGCTCCACTTCCTCTGCCGTCAGTGGCTCCAGCCAGAGCAACACACCAAGGCGGAAATGCTGGACCTGGTGGTGCTAGAGCAGTTCCTGGCCATTCTTCCTGCGGAGATGGAGCGCTGGGTGAGGGAGTGCGGGGCAGAGAGCAGCGCCCAGGCTGTGGCCTTGGCAGAAGGATTCCTCCTCAGCCACGCAGAGGAAGGCAGGCGGAGCAAGGAGCAGCAAGTGAGAGGGTTCATCCTGGTTCTTTGTTCATACCTGCTGTTTCTAAAGCAGGTATGAGCAAACTTCGGCCCTCCAGTTGTTTTGGAATTCAACTCCCACAATTCCACTGTTAGGAATTGTGGGAGTTTAAGTCCAAAACACCTGGAGGGCCAAAGTTTGCTCAAGGATATTTTAAAACTTTCCACTGCGTGCCAACTATACAGGAAATCATATAAACTGAGGATGGTCAACCAGAGATATGTCTGGTGGTGCAGTGGGTTAAACCACTGAGCTGCTGAACTTGTTGACTGAAAGGTTGGCGGTTTGAATCTGGGGAGCGAGGTGAGCTCCCGCTGTTAGTCCCAGCTTCTGCCAACATAGCAGTTTGAAAACATGCAAATGTGAGTAGATCAATAGGTATTGCTTCGGTAGAGAGGTAATGGTGCTCCATGCCGTCATGCTGGCCACATGACCTTGGAGGCGTCTACAGACAACGCCAACTCTTTAGCTTAGAAATGGAGATGACTAGACGTAATGTCAGGGGAAACTTTTACCCTTTACCTTTACACTGACATAAACTGCAGTTTGGAATTGCATTATATGGCCAATCTACTAGACCCATACAATGCAGTTGAACTACTTTGAACTACATTATGTGGTTCTACACTGACTATGTAATGTAGTTCTAAACAGTGTAGATCCAGCCTTAGTCCTGCCAACTCTCCTTTTTTTAAAACTAGCTTGGTACCTACCCGACAATGCCCAGATTATTTGAAAAAGTCATTGTTTCTTTTTATTTTATGAATGGTCTTGTTAAGAAAATGTATAAGGTTGTGAGTGAACTACAACTCACATCATGCCAGGTTAATCCCCTAAAAGTCCATCAGTACTTAAAGTTGATCGTGTTGGGCATGTGTAGCAAGTTTGCTCCAGATGCATCCTCTGTGGGGTTCAGTGTGTTCTCTGGCAGCAGGATGAACTACAACTCCCACCATGATGATTCAGTCCCCTCAAAACCTTCCAGTAGGTTCAGTTGCTTATGGTAGTTCTGTGTTTGATCCAGGTACATTGTTGGTGGGGGTCACAATTTCTCTGGATGTAGGTGAACTACAATTCCCCAAAATTTCTCCCAAACCCCTCCAGTATTCAAATTTGAGTGTATCAGGTATGTGTGCCAAATGTGGTCCAGATCCATTATCGCTTGGGTTCACAGTGCTCTCTGGATGTAGGTGAACTACAACTCCTATAAATCAAGGTCAATTTGCCCCAAATCCCTCCAGTATTTTCTGTTGGTCATGAGATTCTGTGTGCCACTTTTTGTCCAGGTTCATTGTCTGTGGGGGTCACAGTGCTCCGTCTTGCTGCAGAGTAAACTACAACTTCCATCATGTTGAGTCAGTCCCCCGAAGCCCTCCAGTATGTTCAGTTGCTGATCAATTCATGAATAGGAAAGGGTTAAGGGAGAGGCAGTGGGTAGGGTCATGCAAATTCCACACCAATGGAGAGAGTATGAAACACTGGGGTGTCTGTGGTGGAGGAAAAACAGAAAATCTAGGATGAAATGGTCCCGGTATGAAAGCCTTCGCTTGGGTGGTGGGCAGTATGGTGTTTGTGGAGGACATTGGCAGGGCTCTTGGACATGTTCATGGCATTCACTGTCACTGGAGGGAGGGCCATTGGTGTCTCCTGAGTAGTGGGAGCTATAGCTGTCTGTATAAGTGGGAGTCTGTCTGTATAAGTAAACACCTCAGCCACATACATATCTTCACAGTTCTCTTTTGTTTCTTCTGGTGCAGGACCTGTTTGTGGAAGAGATGTCCAAGGACACGAAATATCCTTCTGAGAGCAATTGGATCGTGCCAGAGAAGGGCAGAGAAGTCTCCACCTCACTGAATGAGGATGAAGGGGTGGTCTCTTCTATTCTTGGCCCACTTCTCTCAAGTATGCCACCAAATATCTCAGGCATGTAGGGTGCTACTGGTTAAGCAGTGATATAAAACCAAGCTGTTTTGGGGGACTAGTATCCTGACACCTCTGACGATTCTGCCCTCTTCCTGTGAGGAGAGGGGCCAGGAACCTTGCCAGCATAACCAAAGGCTGGGAAGTATTCCAAGAAGATGGTGGCAAATGCAGCGTGGAGCCAGTTCTACTGTCCATCCCCCAACAGCTTCTTCTCTTCACCCTTCAAAGCGTCAGTCATCATTCCTCTCCTATTGAGCCTCTCCAGTCCTTACTGGGAGTTTTGAGGATTTGGGTGTTGTTGTTTTTTTGTTAGTTTCTTTAGGTCTAGTTTCAGAAGGGAATCCTCAAGGAAGTTCTCATTTCCTTCCCTGGTTTTATTTATTTATTTATTTACAGTTTTTATATTCCGCCCTTCTCATTCCGCAGGGGACTCAGGGCGGATTACAGTATACACATATATGGCAAACATTCAATGCCAGTTTGACAAACAACGTATAACAGACAATACACCGAGGCTATTTAACTTTTTTTTTTCTGGCCCCCAGGGGAGCTGCTGCTTTTCATCGTCCATCAGCAACACTGATGAAGTTCTTCCGCATTCCACATTCCCTGGAGTCTTTTTTCTTTATGGCCTCATAAATTAGTTAATTTAGCCTCCCACACAAGGTGGTACCTTATTTTCCTACTTGACAGATGCAACTGTCTTTCGGGTTGCAAAGGTCGACAACAGGCTACACATAATTGGTTGGAAACCCATTCCAACCCGGGCTGGCTTCGAACTCATGACCTTTTGGTCAGAGTGATCTTAATGCAGCTGATACTCAGCCAGCTGCGCCACAATCCCGGTGCATTTCAAATGCATTCTCAGTGTGACACTTGGAAGGACTATCCATACAACCAAATATGTTCTCTGTAGGTTTTCCTGAAACTTAAGAGGCTTTCCCTGGTCTTCCTTCTAGCGCAACTTTATTCATTTTACTCTATTGTCTTCATTTGATCTTCTTGAATCAGCACTTTTTATCTAAAATCTTTCCTGTGTGATATCAGCTTTGGTTTTTTCCCCTGGGTTTGGAAGGATTATGTTTAGTAATATAGAGGATGGTCCATGACTCCCCTTTCTGTTTTTGTGTCCCTCACAGGAGGAGGAACCAGGACACAACCCACATTTACAAGTCTATCCCTTGATTATGGTACAGCTTCAGTGGGGTTGGATCAGGTGAGGGGAAGGGTCCTTCGTGGGCTGTGTATCCCTGACCCTCTCCCTGGGCATGGAGGAATCTTCCTAAGAATGGAAGATGCCCACCAGGATGCCCCGTTTAAAGATTTAAATCCAGTTAGGCTTCTCTAATTGTTTCATTTGGGGCCCTTCCTGCTCATGAATCAGGTGTTTTTGTGCAGGTGGCTTTTGAAGAAGTGGCTGTGGGTTTCACGGAGGAGGAGTGGGCTCTGCTGGACCTGGGACAAAGAGCGCTTCATGGAGAAGTCATGGAAGAGACTTTAAAGCTCATCTTTTCTCTGGGTAATTCCCCTCCTCTCTTGCAATTCATCAGTATTTGCCTCCCAACAGTCCTTTTCACCTTGTCAAGTTAGATGGCTAAGTTCCCCTCTTTCTTCCTTTCTGGTTTCTGAGGTCTCTTCTGAGGGTTTTGTCATGTTCAGTTGTGTCAGGTTCAGACCTCACAACCTCTGAGGTTGCTTGCCCCTTGTAAGCTGCCCCAAGTCCCTTTGGGAAGAATAAAGTTGTTGTTGTTGTTGTTGTTGTTATTATTATACCTAGGAGGTGTCTACGGACAATGTCGGCTCTTCAGCTTAGAAATTGAATTGAGCACCACCCCCTAGTCGGACATAACTAGATTTAGTGTCAAGGGGAAACCTTTAGCTTTATCTTACCAGGAAAAAAAATATCCAAGATTTGAAATTACCTTGTCAATATGTCTTTTAGGTTTGCAGTGAGAGTAAACACGACTTGTACAAAATCCTGATGCCCCCTCACTTTCTCTGTGCTACAATTTACAAATGCATATATTTCATTATTTAGACTCAGCTTTCATTATTATTTATCATTAGTTGCCTTGCATACAACTGATGGTAGCACAGCACCAAAGCCTCTACGGAGCTAAACATATTCAGACACGTTCATTAGAAAAACTCCCTGCTATTGTTAAAAATGGTCCCTCACATTCTAAGGTCTGAAAAAAATCTAGACAGGTTCCATCTTTATCCTTAAAGTATAAAAGGGACAAAAAGGGATCAGGTGAAGAAGAGGGGGAAACCAGTCTGAGTCACCATCAGTTCCTTCAGGGTACAAAATCCTAGTTTTGCAAGGAGCTTCTTTGGAAAAAGTTGGAGGAGGGGCTTGGTGGACCCTTTCCCTCTACAGCAGCATTTCACAACCTGGTGGTTGGGATCCCTGGGGTGGTCATGAGGGGGTGTCAGAGGGATCACCAAAGACCAAGACAGCACAGTATTTTCTGTTGGTCTTGGGGGTTCTGTGTGGGAAGTTTGGCCCAATTCCATCATTGGTGGGGTTCAGAATGCTCTTTGATTGTAGATGAACTATAAATCCCAGCAACTACAACTCCCAAATGTCAAGGTCTATTTCCCCCAAACTCCACCAGTATTAACATTTGGGCATATTGAGTATTTGTGCCACATTTGGTCCAGATCCATCATTGTTTGACTCCACAGTGCTCTCTGGATGTAGGTGAACTACAACTCCCAAACTCAAGGTCAATGCCCACCAAACCCTTCCAGTATTTTCTGTTTGTCATGGGAGTTCTGTGTGTCAGATTTGGTTCAATTCCATCATTGGTGGAGTTCACAATGCTCTTTGATTATAGGTGAACTATAAACCCCTGCAACTATAACTCCCAAATGACAAAATCAGCCCCCTCCCCCTTCACCAACCTCACCAGTATTCAAATTTGGGCATATCTGGTATTTGTGCCAAATTTGGTCCAGTGAATGAAAATAATCCTGCATATCAGATATTTACATTATGATTCATAACAGTAGCAAAATGACAGTTATGAAGTAGCAATGAAAATAATGTTTTGCTTGGAGGTCACCACAAAATGAGGGACTGTATTAAGGGGTCATGGCATTAGGAAGGTTGAGAACCACTGTTCTATTCCCTCTGAGGTTCTGATCCAGTCTGTCTCTGTGTTCCAGGTGCTGATGAGCAGTTGGAGGAGGAGCAAGGGGTGCCAAGCAGGAACTTGTTCGAAAGAGTCAAATGTAAAGAGAATGGACCAAAAGGAAGGGCTGGTGCTGATGGGAAGGGGAGGGAGAAAGTATTTGCTTCCCAGAATGTCATGGCCCATGGTATCTCGATCCCAGAAATAAGTAACTTTCCTGAGGACAATTTCTTTCTGATCACGAACGGGGGCAAATATAAGAGCTATTCAGCAGGCTTCAAGTTAACAGTTATTGCTTTTGCCGAGCAGCATGGAAACAGAGCTGCCGAAAGGCAGTTTTTGGTGAGCGAAAAGTTGGTGCGAGACTGGCGAAAAGCAAAGTACAAACTACAAAACACAAACCTTTCTCGGTGTGCCTTCAGAGGTCCAAAAACAGGCAGGTTTCCAGAAATTGACGACGAAGTTTCTGTTTACGTCAGCGAAATGCGCAGCAATGGCCGCAGGATAACATACGAGATGCTGCAAATGAAAGCCCAGGAGGTGGCATGCAAACACAACATCCCCCCAGCTCAGTTTAAGGCCAGTCGCGGTTGGGTTATGAGGTTCATGGGGCGACACAACATGCCTATCCGAAGGAGAGCCACGCAGTGCCAAAAGCTGCCACCGGATTACACTGGCAAGATTGAAAGCTTTCATCAATGTATCTTGAGTGTATTCAAGGAAACGCTGTACCCACTTTCTCAAATTGGCAACGCTGATCAGACTGCCGTATCTTTTGCTATGCCTTGCAACGGCCCCATTGCGCTGAAAGGGCCGTCTGGCGTCTCGATGAGAACCAGTGGGAATGAGAAATTACGGTGCATCGTCATGCTTGCCATTACAGCCGATGGAAGCAAGTTACCGCCTTACGTAATTTTCAAGAGAAAAACAATGCCTAAGAGCGTACAATTTCCGCATGGGATTCATGTACGAGCGCAAGCGAACGGTTGGATGGATTTTGAGCTCATGGTGGATTGGATTGAAACGGTGTGGAACAGAAGACCCGGTGCAGTCATGAAACAACCATCTCTGCTTGTTTTAGACAGTTTTCGAAGTCATGTTGTGAAGGAAGTGAAGGAACTTCTCTTCGAAAATAAGACACAACAGGTCGTCATTCCTGGTGGCTTAACCTCTATTTTGCAGCCACTGGACGTCTGCGTGAAAAAGCCCTTTAAAGAGCACTTGCACCATTTCTACAATGAGTGGGTGATGACCAATGATCACCAATTGACACCCACTGGAAAAGTGAAATGCCCGTCCTTGGAACTGATGTGCACATGGGTCATTAAAAGCTGGGACCTTATACCACCAGAAGTAGTTGTTGGAAGCTTTACAAAAACAGGGATTTCTAATGCACTAGATGGATCTAAAGAGTTTGCACTGTGGGAGAGTGATGGCGAGGGAAACACATCTGACATGAGCAGTACTGAGGAGGGCGCATCCGATCACGAAACCAATGACAGTGGTACCAATGACAGTGGTACCAATGACAGTGGTACAACAAGGAGAATTAAAATCTTAAACTGATAGGTGTGATCATCTACTGTGTGGAAGGAGTTTCAATTGTAAACAAAGTCTTGATTCCCATATGAGAATTCACACAGAAGAAATGCCTTCCAGAGCATCATAGAATTGGAAGAGATCTCATGGGCCATCCAGTCCAACCCCCTGCCAAGAAGCAGGAAAATTGCATTCAAAGCATCCCCAACAGAAGGTCATCTAGTCTCTGTTTAAAAGCCTCCAAAGAAAGGTGGTGAGTGTGGAAAGAACTCACACAGGAAAGAAACCATTCCAGTGTGGAAGAAGTTCACGTCATAAGACCTAAGAGGGTGATGAGCCCATTACCAGATGTGTCCAGAGTACACCAGGTTGAATCAAAGTCCAAAAACGTATCATAGAATCAGTGATTCAAATCAGGAGTGTCCCAGCAACAGAGTTGAGGTGTTTCTGCCACCAGATTTTGGCCTGTTCTAGTGCTCCTGAGCCCTGCTGATCGCTGCCATGTCTGTGATTTTGGGAGACACGGAAGAGGCATTTTGGGGCAAATTGAAGTATCATTCCATTCTCCTTTGGAAACATTGGTTGGGGTGGACTTTTGCAGCTCTTTTGATAGAATTCTTTTACAATACATTTTACAATCACTTTTTTTGGCAATAAAGCAGTGAGGTAGTACCACCCTCTGGAGTTAGTTAGGGTCCCTTTGGCCCAACGGTTCTTCTACGTATCAGGCGAATCCTGAGTCACACAGTTCTCTTTACCACTTTGCAGCTGGAGAGTAGATGTGTAAACATAGTAACTCACTATATAAATCTTCAAACTGAGATTAATGCCATATTGTTGGTTCGTTTCCTGTTTCTTTTCCTTCTATGACTGTATTGAACCTGAATATTTTTGCTGTAAATTTATGTCATTGAAAGTTGAAATACATTTTTGTAAAAAAAAAAAAATCAGTATTACTGGAATTGATGTTGTTGACTTGTTGTTTGTTTGTTTATTTATTTACTATATTTATATCCTGCCTTTCTCGACCTTGAAGGGGACTCAAGGCAACTTACAGCCGAGGCAATAATTCAGTGCCTTAAAAACAATATACATCCAATATACAATTAAATAAATATATCAATTAAAATTTAAAACAAGGTATTATGATTACTACTGTATAACCACGTTATCTGCAATCATAGTCCAGGCCATTCCGATAATCATTTCACATAATTCCAAGTCCATCTATGTTTTCAAGCCACGTTTTCAACCTCTTTCTGAAGGTCTGGAGGGAAGGGGCTGATCTAACATCACTGGGGAGGGAGTTCCACAGCCGAGGGGCTATCACCAAAAAGGCCCTGTCTCTTGTTCCCACCGTTCACACCTGCAAAGGGGGTGGGACCAAGAGCAGGCCCTCTCTGGACGATCTTAATCTTTGAGATGTTTCATAAGGGAGATAAGTTCAGACAGATAAACTGAGCCCAAATCGTTTAGGGTTTTATAGGTTTTAGAACTGACATTGATGTTCAGTTTGTTCCTCAGTATAACTTCTTGGATGAATATTTATGTAGGAAAAACTTATAATCATACCAGACATTATATGAAAAGTATTTTTTCTGTGTATTGACGAAGGCTTTCATGGCCGGACTCACTGGGTTGTTGTAGGTTTTTTCGGGCTATATGGCCATGTTCTAGAGGCATTTCTCCTGACGTTTCGCCTGCA